ATAAAGAAGCCTTACTTAGTGATACCATACGTTTAACTTAGTTTCCATGGGATCAAAATGTCAAAATTATATAATTTTTTATTATAACATTTCTCGAGAAATGAAAAATTTGGTTGACATAACTTACATTTTTAGCATCAGTGCGTTATTAGCATTTTGCTAATAAAAATCACAAATGTGTATTAAATATAAAATTTTTCTCAAAATATAGAAGAATAGCAACGAGTCAGTGAAGGTTGATGAACGGAGATAACAGTAAGTAATGTTTAGACAACAAGTAAGTTCATTGTTTTTATTTAAAATGTAAAAAGTATAAAATATTCGTACTCTATAGCAAAAGGAATATTTTTTGGTTCAAAAATATGAAAAATTGTACAATAAATTAAAAATTTTGCAAACATGTAGTGCGTTCAATAAATATTTTGTCATAGCAGTTAATGTCACAAGATAAACATAAATAATATTTTCTTGTACATTTACTGCGACTAATTTTCTTACATATATGACACGTAGCAAAAGATTTATGCTAATAAAACTACTGTTATACTTGCTATTCGTGCGGGTTACTTATATGAGTTATGTCTACGAGTAATAAAACTATTGAGCAACAATTATTTATCACTGACTAACTTATCACAGCCAGTAATATTTTTTGTAAAGGGTCAGTGTGACCAAACCAATTGGAGAGTTCAACAAGTAAAACCAATGAACATAACACATCGCAAGAGGTGGAACGTCTATGATTTGTGAGTTGCCTAACTAAAAAGGTGCCAGAGGCAAGTAAGTACTGCATAGCGAGGCTTCAAATAATAAACAGTGTCTCAGAAATCCGAAGAAAGTCGGCAAGAGAAATACGATGGAAATACAGTATTTCTGATAGTGGGTTAAAATTAACCTATCCGCGGTTTTAAATAAATCTGGATTTTTCTCGCGGGAGTTTGCTCCCCGGAAGATAAAATTACTTGCGGATGGTAATGGACTTTATCAATGAAAAAACTTCAGAGAAGTTTAGCCTCCCAAAGTCCAAAGAAAAGGGAAAAGTAGAATGAGTAAGTGGGCCAAAAATGCGCCGCGATTTTAGGCTTAAGTAGACGCAAATTATTCATAATTAAAATTTCGACTCGGAATGATCGCGCGCCTTATCACATTATTGATTTATCAGGCAAATCCATTTTTTTTCTATATGACCACTAATTAATTAATCAAGTGAAACCTTTGATGATTCTTAGGAATAATTATGAACGAAAATATTTTTTTACTTTTATATTTTATCATATTAACCTCTATTTTACGATAATTAAAAATTCAGGTCAAGATATATGAAATAGATATATGCGTATTATGTACGAAATGTCTCACGGTTAGCAATATGTTAATTATGTCGTGCTAGATCCACATAGGAAAACCAGTTCAATTTCAATTTTAATAATATATATCTTATAATTTATATCTATTTTGACTCCGATAATGTTTTAAATTCCTACTTTCACTGGTTTAATATCAAAATAAGCTGTTCAAGATAATGTATAGGTAGCATCAGAATAAAGTTTGTAATAAAATTAAAGATTCAAAAGAGAAATTAACAAGTATTATAATATCGTCAAAATAGGTTTTTTATTAGACCATAGGTCATCTAAATTGACAAAACTAAGGTTTAACCTAATTAAAAGCTTCAAAATAACATCACA